CACCAGTTTGAGCCTAGCCCAGGCAACAACGTAGCAACTTAGTGAGACCTTGTTTCCAAAAACAACAACAAAACAACCCCCCCTCCCCCCAAACCCAGTAAAACATTTAAAAAGGGCTGGAGATGTAGCTTAGTGCAAAGGCCATGAGGAGTTCTGTCTCAGTACCGGCAAAAGACAAAAAACCAAAAAAACAAAAACCCAAACCACCCAAACCTCTGTCCACCAGAGAGGTCCAGAGCCCAGCTGGAAGTGGAAGTGACCAGGCTGCCCAGCGTGTGGCTGGTGGGGGATATTTCCACGCCACCGTAGCGTAGCTCTCTCCCGGTCAGTGTTCCGGGGAGGCCTTGAAGGACGGCTGTGCTGAGGAGGGAGGCTGGGGTCGCGGCATCTTCATTTATCCTCACTTGGCTTTAGTCTTCCATGCTGCTCACTGGAAAACTAGGAGCCCAAGCCCTCGTGTGGCCAAACAGGCTGGAGTGGGCAGGGAGAGGTAAGAGCCCTGGGTCCTGCCCTCAGAGGGGCTCAGTGGGACAGACAAGTCGCCGAGCTGCAAGAGAAGAGTCGTGAGAGACAGCAGGCCTGGCACTCACCCATGCAGCTAGTACGTGGGACTGCAGGAGCAGGTGTCCCAAGGAGACCGGACAGTGCTCACCCAGGAGAAAGGGGAAGGTAATGTGTGTGTGTTGGGGGTACTATAGCCCCAGCACTTTTTATTTTGAAACAGGGTCTTGCTAAGTTGCTGAATCACGCAGCCTGGGCTCCAGCTTGCCATTCTCCTGGCTCAGCCTCCCGGAGCACCCAGGAGATCTCTCTTAGCCTAGCTAAGGGAAGGCACTTTGGCCTTGGTCGTCAGCGTCCCCTTCTTTGCCTTTCATCTTTGTCCTGGGACTCGGTGGGCCTGTAATTCATACACTGTGTATTACATATACTTTTTTTTTTTTTTTTCCTGAAACAGGATCTTGCTTTGCAGTTCAGGCTGGCCTGGACCTCACTGTGTAGCCCAGGCTAGCCTCAAATTCACAGTGATCCTCCTGCCTCAGCCTCCTGAGTGCTGGGATTACAGGCATTTGCCTCTATATCTGGCTTCATATGCTGTATGTGTGTTGTTTTTTTTGGTACCGGGGATCAAACTCAGGACCTTTCGCTTGCGAGGCAGGCGCCGGAACGACTGAGCTAAATCCCCGGCCCCATATGCTGTATATTGTTGCTTTCCCCCTTTCAAAGTAACGAGTTAGTTCATCCCTGACCCTAGCTGTCTGCCATAGGTGAGCAGCCGTATTCATGATTTTGTCAGTATGGGGGCATTTTTCACCTCCCAAATCTGTGCCAGTATTGGGGGTGCTTTTCTTCTGTCCGACAAACTCCATGCACTACTTAAAAGCGCTCTAGCCTCAGTTCACTGCGTCCTGGTTACAGAGAGGTGGACAGATATAGGGAACTTACATTCTAAGGCTAGGCAGGGTGGTGCACGCCTATAATCCCAGCACCTGGGAGGCTGAGGCAGGAAGATTGCCTCCAGTTTGAGGCCAGCCTGGGCTACATAGTGAGTTCAAGGCCAGCCTGAACTGCATAGCGAGACCCTGTCTCAAGAAAAAACAAACAACCCCAAAGACTTGCATTCTAAGGACTACTTAGTGATTTAGCAAGACCCTGTCTCAAAATAAAAAAAATTAAAAAGGGATGGAGAGGTAGCTAAGTGTGAAGGTCCTGGGTTCAGTCTCTAGTCCTGGCGGGGCAGCTGCCTGGCATGGACTGACCAGCGTTTGTGGAGGGAGCCAGGGAATGAAGACTGACTCCACTCTCCTCTTCCTCCCAGTCCCTTGCCAATGCCTGCCACTGGCAGGCCCAAATGGAATCCAGCTGGAAGCAGAGAGCAAGGGACTGAAGATGCAGCCCCCAGAAGTCACCCTGCTGTGGCACAGAGCAGGGTGGAGGATGGCAGGTGGGGGCGTGGATCTGTGGGTACAGTGGAGCGATCGTGGGCACCTACCAGTGTTACGGGCCAAACTTGAAATGAGGCTTTAAGGGTGGACTCTACCTGATATGCCTGGTGTCCACATAAGGAGAGGGGATTAGGACACAGAGCTTCACTCACAGAGGAAAGTTCAGGCAAAGACACAGAGAAAATAGCCCTCTACAAGGCAAAGACGGAGGCCTCGGGAGAAACCAACCTCACAGACACCTTGATCTCAGACTTCCAGGCTCTGGAATTGTGAGAAAAGAACTTTCTGTTATTTTAGGCACCTGATCTTTGTTACAGCTGCCCTAGCAGCCCCAGTACAATCAAGCAATTCGGCATATCACTCACAAATATGGCACTGATGTCTCAGGACTCAGGAGGGTCAGACAGGTGCTTGAATGCTTATGGCAAGAATGGAGCCATCTGTGGGACAGCATCAAAATGCGGCACACCCTGGTGGCAGTTGGTGGATTATGACATAGCAGCCATGGTGATCCTGAAAGAGCCACTGGAACTGTCATTCACCAGCGCTTACTAAGTGCCCAGGCCCTTTCAGCCTTGAGTAGGTGGTCCCTACCAAAAACGACGGAAAGCCTAAATGTCCATTCCCTGTGTCCTCAGCTACCCAACAACTTGGTTGTAGGCTCAGAGGGCTCCCAGTCAACCATGCTTCTGCAACCCCAAAGTCCCCCTGCTCTGCCCACCGGCATTCTGCTCTCTCAGTCGCAGAAGCATTAGCTATGATTCTAGAAAGGGAAACTTCTAAGACTCAAAAGAGGAAGGTGATTTCGAGAGAAAAGTCCTGCCTTGCAATTTCTTCCACAGTGAAGCTTTGGGTCTTTGGGTTCTCCTCACAGCTCTTGGAATCAACACTTCTAATTCTTTAGTAGAGTGACCAAGCTCGCTTTGGGGGCCAGGCCCTGGCGGAAGAAGGGAAGTGTGTCTGTGGTCTGTGCTGGCAGATAGCCCTGGTTGAGACAGAATTGGAAAGCTGATAGGAGGCCTGGGGAGGCTATATTTAGCTAGGAGCATGTTTGCGATTTCCCAGGTCTTTTCAACCTCCCCAGCACCAGGGAGTAAGAGTCAGAGCAGAATGCTCCCTCCTCTGTTCCAGAGGGTCGGGAGGCAGCTGTGAAGCCTACCTCTCAGTTCAGCACGTCTCAGTTCACTGCATCCTCTGTTTCACAGGCCCCTTTTGCTGGGTCCTCTCAGTGTCCACTCTCTAATGTTCAGCAAGACTAGGTAGCATCTTAGGGTCCTAAAAAGGGGCCAGGCTGAGCTAGAATTTGGCTGAATCAGTTGCCGATCAGACAAGTTACTTAACCCCCTGAGGCCTTGCTTTCTTATCTGTAATGAGCATGATAATAGCTAGTGAGTAGGCTGTGGATTCGGAGAGATAACACAAACAAGTAGTAACTGCTCATCAAACAGTCCTGCTTCCCCTCAGGAGCCTCCCTTGGAGTGGGAAGACTTCATGACTTCAGGCTTTTTCCTGCTGACAAAGAGAACGGGCTCCCAAGGGACCCCGTGTGTGTGATTTAAAACATTCACTGGATTAAAAAATTCAGAAAGGAGCCAGTGTGGGTGGTACACCTATCTAGTAATCCCAGTTACTCCGAAGGTTGAGGCTGTAGGATCTCAAGTTCCCCTTCAATATGGGCAATTTATGGAGACCGAGTTTCCAAACAAACAAAGGGGTGGAGGGGCTGGGGATGTGGCCTGGAGGTAAAGTGTTCGCCTGGCACAGGGCAGTCCCTGGGTTCATTCCCCAGTACCGAAGGGGTTTTTTTTGGGGGGGGGGGCTCAAATATGAATACAGCAAACAAAAATTTTTTTGAGACAGGGTCTGGCTATGTAGTTCACACTGATCTTGAATTCAATAAGTAGGCCAGATGGGCTCAGCAATCCTCCTGCGATCCGTGGGTTCTGGAATTACAGGCTTGTGGCACCACGCCCAGGAGAATACAAATTTTTTACAAGTTAAACTCCAAGACACACATAAAGGGAGAAAAGAATTCTCCATTCTCCCTTTGTAACCCCCCCCCCCCGCCATATTCACAGGCTGGCATGTTCTTCCGCACAGTTTCTATCCTCAAACACAGGCACCAAGATGGAAATTTGTTTTTATTTTTCCTCTGACAGGTTAGGATCCCACTAAAGGCGTTTCTGGAACTTCCCTTTTCATTTAGCCATAAGCTACAGATATTAATTTAGGCAAATAGATATGGGTCTGGCTTCTTCATTTTAATAGCTGCACAGGATTCCCTGGAATATATGTCATATTTTCCAGTCACTTCCCGGTGGATTTTCTCCTATTACAAATAATGTTGCAATGACCGTTTCTGCACAAGTATTCTGATCACATTATGCTTTAGTTTCTATGGAGCACTTCCCCTGCAGTATGAATGCTGAGCTACACCCCAGCCCCTTGTTTTTAGCAGTTTAACAGCGAGCGTGACTTTCTCCGGATTTTGGAGTACTCTCTTCGGAATCTGCGTGTTCCGGACACTTTCACTGTTCAAGGTCCGAGGAGCAGCGAGCCAGAGGCTCCTTCAGCGGAGGAAACCCAGGGGCAGGCAGCATCTCTGTGATAGTGGATGCCGGTGGCACTCCTGGGACCAAGGGCTCAGGTGGCGAGCGCTATACTGCCTGGAGTCCAGTGTAATTTGGGAAAGTGCCCTTCCGTGGGCCTCGGTTTCCTTCTGCGTAGCCTGTGACTGACCAAGATTAGGCTGAGTCCAGCCCCAGAACTAGTGACTTCAAATCTCTGGCTCTATTATCCCATCAGTAAGCCCCGCCTTACCACCACCCCATCTTCCCCACAGTATTATCTCCGCGGGGCTCGACTTTCTGGAAGGAGCTGGCTTCACAAAGAGTAAAGCAAGCACCATACTCAATCCTTCCCCTAGATAGGTCACTTACTACTTCTGCTTGGTTTTGGCGCCTTCCCTCCCTTTTGACTCGGCTATCGAATGTTCCTGCCTGAATCTGGCAAGAAGCCACGGAGCGCGTCTGTTCTGCCCATCTTTTGCTTCTGCCTGGCCCCGTCCTCCGGATGGGGCTGTGGTTTAAGAGCGCGATCCTGGGCTCGGCGGGCAACTTACGCTGCCTTCACCTGCTTCCGGTTCCGGTTGCGGCGTGTCGTCTTCTGTCCCGCGCGTGGCCATGGCTGGGAGCCGGCTGGAAACCGTGGGGAGCGTCTTCTCGCGGTGTGTGCTCGGAGTCGGGGTAGGCTGAGAGTGCCTCCCCCAGGAAGGGGTTCTCTGGGTCACGCTTTTCGTTGGGCGAGCTGGGCGAAGCCTTCTGCAGAAGCGAGTGTCCTAGCCGAGTGAGGCTGTCATGTTTTCCTGGCTCCAAGCAGTTGTGCTTGTCGGCGTCTCTTCACATTCATGTCACTTTAACGAATGTACCCCCACTCCCAGTTGCCGCTCTTGAGGAAGAGACTGATGGCCCTGCCTGTAATGTCCTTGCATTTTTCATGACCGGACGTGGGTGGGACGCGCACCAGAAGATAGAGGGGTTTCACCCCTGAGCGAGCTTAGGCTGGCGTGGGATGTGGCGATGTTTTTCCTGGACGTGGGGAACCTTCCTGCTCCATCCTCCTCGGGTTCTATGGACTGCACAGCCTTTGATGCACCAGGCTGTGCCAGACCGATTCAGGGCCTTTGGCAACTGTTGTAGCTTACTGACCTTGGTTCTGTTCCCTCTCTAAGGACTCGGGACCTGCTTCGGTTTGGGCTGTTGAAGGAGAAGCCCCTCTGGTTTGACGTATATAAGGCCTTTCCTCCGCTGAGTGAGCCGGTTTTCCGAAGGCCCCGCTTGCGATACGGCAAAGCCAAAGCGTCCATCCAGGATATCTTGTACTACGAGGATCGGATTAGAGCGTGAGTGTGCAGCCCGTATAGTCATCAGGACGCAACAGAACTTGAGAAAGAAAGAAGGTTTAGGTAGCAGTCTGGTAACCTAAAGAAGACGTTGAAAAAAAAAAAAAAAAAGACGTTGAGTCAGGGGCTTGCCTGGTGCAGATGGATGATCATGTATAGTAAGGGAGGCAATAGCAACCCTTTCTAAGGTGAGAGGAAACAGAAGCTCTGAGAAGTGGAATGTGGAGCCCAGAGGCTGACACAGCATTGCAGGTGTAGCTGTCTTTTGCACATCTGCGTGGTGCCAGGCACTGTACTATTAGTAACCCTTTTTCAACATAGGAGACCGAAGGAGGTTAACTCCCTTTGGTTACACGGGAGGGTGACTGGTTGGGAATCACATCTCTGATTTCATTTGTGTTGGTCATTGTGCCTCCTCCAAGAGTGGAGGAGATAGGAGGAACAGGGTCTGTGGCCTAGTAGTTGGGGTCTTTGAAGGCACTCAGAAGGACCTTTCAAAAGTCCAAGGAAAGGGCCGAGGTTTAGCTCAGTGGCGCCAGCACCTGCCTGGCAAGGGCAAGGTCCTGAGTTTGATTCCTGGTTCCACCAAAGAAAAAAAGGACTATACAAATGAAAGAGAGAAAGAAATTTAATGTCACTGTATTGTATACCTAAAGATGTGCCAATAAAATTAATTTTAAAAAGTCCAAGGAATTTGAAATATTCATCACTAGAAATTTGAGGGATAGTGCTTGCATGCTTTACTTCTTTAGCATCTATTTTCTCTTTTATTATAAAGGTAATACGTGCTTATTGTGTAAAATTTAGAAACAAAGAGAAAGCATAAAGAAGAAAGTACAAATCACCTGTAATCTCACCATCTAAAGACAGTAGTTTGAAGGAAGCTCTGTGACCTAGAACTTTGGACAAATTATCCTGTATGCATTAATTTTCATAGGGTAAGATATAATAATAGTACCTCATAGAGTTGTAAAGGTGAAGTACGAAAATGCATGTAAAGATTTTAGTTCAGTGCCTGGCACAAAGTAAACCTTCAAAAAATACTAACCTGTAATCCCAGCTATTCAGGAGGCTGAGGCAGGAGGGTCACAAGTTTGAGACTAGCCTGGGAGACTTAGTCTCAAAATAAAAAATTAAGAAGTCTGGAGATGTAGTTTTGTGATACTGTGACCCTGGGTTTGATCTCCAGTACCACACACAATAACCATTATTGTCATTTGGATCTGTTCCCTTCTTTTCTATGTGTGTATATGTCTGTGCACATATAAAATCAGTAATGTATGATACAAATAATTTGTGTCCTTCTACTTAACATTGTGAGCATTTTACCATGTTGTTATACATTTAAAAATATATTAGCCTGTTGTGAGTGTTTTGTAATTTAATCATTGTCCTTGTATTGGATATTTATGATAT